CTGGGCCGGCTCTCTGTCCGTTTCATCCGACCATGAAGTCTCCGACCTTTCGGCGTTCGCTGGCCGGGCCAGCGGCCTGCGCTGAGCAGCCCTATCCGGGGTCGGCCTACCCCTCAGGCGGACCCGCAACCTCGCGGGCCGAAAAAGCGGCGCACCCCCCTCAAGTCGTGAGTACCGTGCAACAGGCCCGAAGCAGTGAACCCCCGCAGGCGCGAGGCCCGCGCTGTCCTGCCGCCATCCTCTTCTCCGCTCCTCGCAGGGCAGAGCGAGCGCTGCTGGGCGTGCAGCGGCACAACGGGCGGGATGCCCCCGGTGGTTGCTACACAACGATCGGTGGCAGCTGGCTGGCACCAAAACCTCCGCCTCCGAAAGGCCCCGCCTTCCCTGAAGTACGATCGTCTCTTCCCGGTCGCTGGCAGGAGACAAGAGGGAGACAATCTGCCGTCATTGGCCACCCCGGTTCCCAGGGAGCGTCCCCCCTTCGCTTGCGCCAAGGCACGCAAGTCGTGCACGGGGGGCCCAATCGCAGTGGAGTCACTGCCCCGCGGCGCAAGTGCTGCTCACCCGGCACGGGTGGAAGGGCGGGTTCTGTTTTGGGCCCACGCGCGCGGGCGGCAACACCTCGCGCAGATTCGCCACACACACAGGCGGGTGGCGCGGCGCGGCTCACGCCTGCAATGCCAGCACTCTGAGGACAAGGACACGCGTACCGGCGAGCATCGCCTCGGAGAGGTCAAAGGAGGTCGAAACCAGCCAGAGCAAGAATGCGGGGGAGTGTGTTTACCCCGCCTCTACTATATATAGAAAGAAATTAATCGGCCAACTAAAAATAGATAGAAAAAATGAGCCGGGCATGGTGGCGCATGCCTGTAGTCCCAGCTACTCGGGAGGCTGAGGCAGGAGGATCGCTTGAGACCAGGAGTCTGAGGTTGCTGTGAAAGAGGCTGAGGCCACAGCACTCTAGCCTGGGTGACAGAGTGACTCTGTGTCAAAAAAAAAATAAATAAAGTTATAGTTCCACATGCGGACGTGAAAGGAATGAGGTGCTCTGTGACCGGCACCGCCCTCATTCTACATTCAGTGGGCTCGTGAATGTCACTCAGAGCTTCCTGAATGTGTCAATAATCAGAGTGTCGCCCGGCTGGTGCTGCACTCCGGGCACATGACTCATTGTTGGCATTGAGGGCAGACTGTCACCTCTCAAGGCGGGCACCTGTCTGTCTCGTTCCCTCCTACTCTCGGCTCACAAGAGTGAACCCAAGTAAATCATTTTCCCTGTGTATGTGTATGTATATACATATATATATTTATATTTAGTTAGTTAGTTATAAGACAGAGTCTCTCTCTGTCGCCCGGGCTAGAGTGCCGTGGCGTCAGCCTCGCTCACAGCAAACCTCAGACTCCTGCGGCTCAAGCGATCCTCCTGCCTCAGGCCTCCCGAGTAGCTGGGACTACAGGCATGCGGCCACCACGCCCGGGGCTAATTTTTTCTATTATTTTTAGCCTGGTCCAATTAATTTCTTTCCTATTTATAGTAGAGACAGGGTCTCGCTCTTGCTCGGGCTTGGGTCTCGAACTCTGTGACCCTTGAGCGACCTCCCGCCTCGGCCTCCCAGAGTGCAGGATTACAGGCGTGAGGCCCCGCCCGGCCCCTGTATTTTTATTTAGATCTGTCTTGGACAGACATGTTAGGCTGGGGGCTCCAGGTGGCAGGTCCTGGGTCAGTCAGGTGCACGCCAGGTCCCCAGCGTCACCGCCGGACCTGCCTGGCCCACAGCTGGGCACACTGTGAACATGGCGGACCAGCTTGTGTTAACTGCCACAGACGGTTATCTAAGATGTAACACTAAGGCGAAGTTTCACAGGAAAAAGTCTCAAACACTACACAACATGACCTTGTCTTGAAAACTGCCACCACAGGTGTTGCTACACACACACTTCTAATCTGGAACATTTCTATATCCAGGCTGTACAGGGAGTTAATTAGGTGTGGTGGGGGGGAGGGAAAGAGAGGCGGAATGGTAAAACCGTTTTCATTTTTCAACTCCTATTCCTCTATGACTTTTTCCAATGAGACTATGGTCACCACTGCCTTTGGGAAAAAAAAATTTAAAGCTATAAAATTTTTTTAAAAAATTTATAATCGCTTTAAGAGTACTCCAGAATTCTACACGTCCGTCCACGCCACGGCCAGGCTGGAACGAGCTGGCCAGGCCGCCCGCGGACCAGGGGCGAGAGATGAGCTGTCCGCGTAGGACGAGTGATAGATGCTAGAGACAGCGGGCGGGAGGGC